CCACCACAAAGTTTCAAGAGGATTTTTGCCATTGACTTCAATGGCCCCATTGGTTATAATGGACCCGAATTTTTCGGGTTTCTCAAAAAATTTCGGATATCTATGCTTTACCGATATAGATATTCGGGTTTTTTCGGGTTTCCCGAAAAAATTCGGGTCCAGTAAACCCGAATCCGAATTTTTCCGAATTTTTTTTTTTTGCACACCCCTACCCACAACCATCTCTTCACGGTTACTGTCCCCCCAAGAATTGGTGCTTCCAGCCTCCCCCCATCACATCCACACATTTCCAGCTTGTCTCCCTCATTGAGGACATTGTTGCTGTAGTAGATAAGAATGCCATCTCCTTAGTGTTTGGGCACACATACACACATGCCTCTGTCAGGTGGGGGTGGGCAGGACCAACACACAACTCAAACAAAATCCACTTCATAACAAAACATCTACCTTACATCTTATGAACCAAGATCTACCTCATAGCACAGCACCCACCTCATGAAACAAGATCTACCTCACAGTGCAACACCCACCTCATGGACCAACATCCACCTATACAAACCTCTACCTCATCAAACTTCCACCCATACAAGTGAGCTCATTTATCTGCACTCAAGGTTTCCCCATCTGCAGCAACAATGTTTACAAGGAGGAAGTAGGCAGTACTCGCCCCTCACCAATCCTCACTAAACTTGGAGGGCAGGTAGAGGAGCATCCCTGTGAGGCCTGTGAGTTTGATGTCTCTAGCTTGCAGGGGGGCAGTTTGACACACTCCTCCTGAACCTGCCCAGCTGTGATTTCTTCAGAGAGCAGTTTCCTGGGGGCACCTGCTTTGGGGGGCTACTACTCAGCAACCCCCCCCCAGTAAATCATCACCAAATTTGGAGGGCAGGTACAGGGGCATCCCAGGGAGGTCTGATGCCTCTAGGTTGCAGGGGAACCATTCAACACACTCATGCACCCGTGGCTGAGATTTCCCCAGATATCACTTTCTGCCTTGGGGGTGCTGTAACTTGGCCCCCCTAAATCCAATCCTCACCAAACATGGCGGGCAGGTAGGGGAGAGTCAGCTGGAGACTCGCTGCAAGTTTGGTATCTCTAGCCCATGGGGGGGGCATTCTACCACATCATAAACCTCACAAAACAAATCAGGTCGCTGAACAGAAAGGTTCATGGTTCGTGAGACCACACAAATCACGAACAAACCTCCATTGTCCTGGTTTGTGCCCTCTCTAGTGCTGACACCCACAGCCTCCCCAGTCCCCATCCATTTCTGCCCAATGCAAGCTGTATGTGTTCCACAGCACAAGTTATCCTGAGACAGAAAGATGAATATGAGTAGCCTGAGCCCAATATTTGAAACTGCAAAGTGAGAGACAAAGCACCCTGTTTTCTCCCAAGGGTTAATGTGACTATTAGTAGGTCTATTTCAGCTTGCAGGTGTCCGTAATTGGGCCTCCCAGCCTACATCATCCTTATCTCTTTCAAGGTCATTCAGAAATGTGGTAAGTGGTTCATCATGAGAATCAGCAGTCAACTAGATGGGAGAGGGAAACAGAAGTGATGTGGTAATCTTCTAGGGGGTTCCAGCGAGCAAATGCCCTGACTGGATTTGAAGGACCACCTGATGCCAGATGGCAAGAGGCTATAATTAAGCCATAGACAAAAGGGAAGCCATGCTAACTTTATGATCACACATAACAGTGGCTCTGACTATGCTAAGCTTCACTGCAATGGACAGCTACATAAATAATGCTTGAGCCTCTAGCTTGAACTTTGATACTTCAAGGATGTGCCATCTAAAAGCAGATACTGATGTATAGACAGACAAGTTGTTTTCTTGCTCCAAGATTGTAGAGACTGTGTTGCCTAGTATTATTTTGTACTTTAAATATTAATTAACCTTCATATATTTTACCAAAGTCTGGTGTGCATATAGCCTTGAGAACCCACATCTCTGAGCGTTGCCTGCTTGCTGAAGAGATAGCGGCTCAGAGGGACCTAGGCTTGAGTCCTTGACACAAGGCAAGCAAAAAGCTTTAACTACAGTCTTCCTCTTAGCATTATGGCTCTTGATGCAGGCATCATTCTATTTGATGTCCCACTATACACGTTTTGTAAAAAGCCGCCCCATGTACAGAGAGACAGAGGAAAAACTATTACCTGCATTTCTGTTCCAGCTCTTCTTTGAGTTGTATTTCATTATGAAGCTGATCTTCTAGCTTGCTTACTTTTTTCTGAAATTGTGCAAACTGGAAAGGAAGAGTCTAGATATTAAGTGCTTATCAAATGGAAACTTATTTACACAGATATAAAAGAAGCCTAAAGCCTATTAGCTAGAACTAAATATTATTTGTTAGTTATTTCTCTAGGGGAGCACTGAACAGGTTTTGTAGAACACATAAAAATATCTACAGTGGCACTTGGTATTATAATAAAAGTAATTTAACTCTGCAAATGTGCAAAGCAGAATGAAATTCACTGACATACAAGAGTTGGATCAAAGGATTCCTTTCTACTAAGAAAGAACTCTTGCTGTATTGGAGGAAGTCCTCTTCCAATTGGAATATGTTCTTGGATCTAAGCCATTTTATAATAAATAGGGGTGTGCACCAAAAAAATTTAGAATTTTAAAATATTTGCCAATAATTCCGAATCCCAGTATCGGTATGATACTGGGGTTTGGGAATTATCAGCCTAGCCGAATAAATTCAGCTCAATTATACCCTATGGGGAGGGGACTGTTCCTATAGGGTATAACAATCCCCCCTTTGAAGGGGGGGGTTTCCTATCACTGAAGGGAAGGCAAACTGCCTCGCCCAGTAATGGGATTCCCTGAATGGATGCTGAATATATGGCATCCTTTCGGGGAATCCCTGTTCAGCCAGCCGAATCAGATTAGAGAATCTGATTCACCTTTCGGCAGGCCTGAATAATGCATTATTCGGTTTGTCTAAACTGAATGCACATCCCTAATAATATAATAAGGTTTTTAACCTTCCAATTTGTCCTACATTGCATAAGACATTTAAAAACACAGGTGCTGAAAAAGTCTTACAAATTCTGCAAATTGCCACAGATATTTACAAGAAATGGCATTACAAATGCAGAATCGCATTTATTACCAAATTATGAAAACATTAATGGGTGAAATGAAACCCATAAGTGAGAAAGCTTTTCTCCCACTGAAATCAACAGATCAATTACAAAATATAATTAACTTCTGTATTTCAAATTTAACATTATAGTTACTGGTAAAATTCAACAAATACCTTCCTTTAAATTGGTGCAAAGACTGTATAAATCTGCTCTACAACCTTAAGTTTACAACCAAAAAGTATCCTAAAAAGGCATCTAACAGTGCAACCCTATGTGGAATTAATCCAGTTGGAATAACTTTGCATAAAATTGAACAGCAGGATAGCCATGGCAGGGAACAGCCACTTTAGATAGTGGGACATACAATGAAACTGATGGAACAGTAGATTCAGGACAGACAAAAGAAAGTTTTTAAAAAAACAATCAGTGTCTATATTTCTATATATGAACCAATACACCAGTTCTGAAACGTTCTGAAAGGCACCTTCATTGCTTGTGTCTTAGGAAGGCTGCAAGGCTGTCTCGAAGAATTCTGGTTCAGGCTGCCGCTTTCTGAATTGTTTTCTGACAGCACTTGTTAGGCTATAAAGAGTCTAATGATTCTAGCTTCTATTTGAGGATACAGGGTTTATCTACATATTTGTGGCATTATTGTATTTTTCTGCTTCTGATATTATTAGCTACTTTGAAAGCCTAAAGAAAGGTGTAAATACTAAGCACAAAAGTTAATACAATTGACTTATGGATCCTACCACCACAAGATGCAATTATGGCAGCTGGCTTTAAAAGTAGACTAAACAAATTTATCACTGAACCTTCATAAATTACTACCACCAATACTTAATACTTCATGTTCACATGCAATGCAACTCTGAATATCAGTCGCTGGGGACAAGAACAAGCTGAAATAGTGGTCTTTTGGGTGCCACATGTAATCCTTCCAGGGACATTTGGAGGTTGGCTATTTGAGGAAAAACAGGAGGCTGGACTACATATGTAGTGGGAGCTGAATATTTAACTGTTTTTCTTGATGATTTTCCATGTTAACTGAACTGTCAGTGAACTGTGTTTGCTTAAAGTTACTTCAATCTGTGACAATTAATTGAGACAATTACAGAAAAGTTAGATGAATTGCTTTTTAATAGAGGTTAAGAGTTAAGATTAGCCTTCTTATCTTGCTTTGTCAGATGTAACTCATATGCACCTGCTTATTGGCTCATTTGCTTATGTTGATTATGCCATATTTAGTTCAGATTGTAATCACATGATTATGATAGAAGAGATTTAGAAAAAGACTGATATTTTTCTATAAATACGCACTACCGTGATAAGCAAATCAGACTTCTCTGGATAGAAGTCTCAGAACAAGATTAGGTGAGATTTCTGGGTGTGTGTGGTTGATAATCTCCAAAGCAGTAAGACAAAACCGGAAACCTGGTTTGTTTTTCAAAATATTACTCACTATAATATGATTAAGCAATGTTAGAAACTTTGATAATTTTAGCACTTATTTTTACAGTAATTGTAGCGGTAATTTTCACATTGTATTTCTTACTGTCTTGCATAATAAATAAATTTCTTTTTTCAATAAAAGATTAAAGTCTCTGAAGGTTTTTGGTCTGGTTTGCTGGTTATAGTTCAAAGAACAGAATCTACATCTTACTTGTTCATATTATCAGATTTAAAGGTAGATAAACAACCTTTAAAAGATAAATCCTGTAGAACTCTGCTGCTAAACAGTTTGAATAGGCAAAGTCCTTTTAAAAGTGTTTAGTCCAGATTCTCTAATTGAATGCGGGAGTGATAGTGTCCCATTACAGATGGATTTTGGTCTGATTTAGCAGAGTTCTTCTCACGTTTGTAATTTTGACACACTGATAGTTGCCACTACTCCAAACCTGGATAAACATTTCTTGTCTAGCATTGGCTCTCAAAGACTCCACAGTGTAGAGAATATTTATTTTGCATAGTCAATGACTGGAGTTTTAAAGACTGGGTCTATGCTCAAAATAAATTAATTAATTAAAAAACACACCACTGCTATTGTAAAAAAATAAACAAGACCACATCATTCAAACACCAGTATATACAGATAGAAAAGTATTTTCATCTTTCATAATTTATAACAACATGCTTACCTCTTCACTGTCCTGTAAAGACAGACGAAAGAAATAGGTCAGTGATTATTATTATTTTTTAAAAACAAGGTTGCCTCTATATATTTTCTTTGGACTGCTGAATTTGCTACATAAAAACCTAAACATAAAGCCATCTAATAGCCAACAATTCATTTAACTTTAATGGGACTTAGTCATATTTAATAACAGATGTGTACAATTAATGCAAACTATTCAAAAGTGAATACAAGAGTGTACAGTGCAAGGGTATAAATACTTTACGTGTGTTTAACATTTAA